GAGACAATGACCAAAACAAGACAATGGACCGAGAGAGAATACAAATAGTTGCAGAATGATGCACTTGTAAAGTCTGAAAGTATTTTGTAGAAATGTTCAACCGAAAGGAAAAGCTGACAGAACCAAAGTGAATCTGTGCAGAATTTTGCTGCAAATCTTGGACAGATGAGGCATTTACGCCTCACCAAGTCATTTATTGTTGACTTATTTGACCAACATTATTTTGTTTAAATACTTTTTTTTTAAATTAACCAAGACTTTATTTGTGTATTAATAATAATTTGAAGTTTTTGGATTCTACATTTGCAATTTGCTTGCATTAACAGCAGATTCACTGCAACAGGCAACAAGACAAGTATGTGGTCGAACCCTGCTCTCTGCTTGCGAGGCAGACGTGCTAATCGCTACAGTATGAAATTGCACGTTTGTTGACTGACAAATGGAAATACAGTAGTGTTACTCAGTTCAAGTGAGGCTTTGTTTACTGGAAAGAAAGAGACAGCGTTTCCAATTCAAATGCACTATTGATGTGAAAACGTCATTCACTTTTCATTCAGCTGGCTGTGTTAATTATGCAGACGGTTTCATTTGTTACATTTATTCTTATTATCATTCTTATTTGTTGTATCCTGTAGTGCTTTCTAACATCTTACAGATGTGAACCCATAACATGTATCGCTAATATAAATATAATATTTTTACTTTTACTTTGCTTGGTTTGAAGTTTCAGCAAATGTCTCCTTGCTAAAATGCTAGCCTGCTAGCTCTCCCTGTTGCACAAACGACGATGTTCTCGTGGTCTCTTTTCTTATTCAGCTATACCACACAGTTTTGTTTCACTCTTTTGGAGCATTTCACAGATTTTCTCGGTCAGGATTTTTTATCATCTCTGGATAACTGAACTTCTGTTAGACTCTTTTTTTTTTTGCTAACCAACTTGACCTTAGCTCTAAAGGACACTCGTGTGGATAATTGAAATTCCATTTCCATCGGGCAGATGCTAACAAGATTTTACCTCCACATTTATTCCACCCTAAAGAGAGATCCTGGGGGCAACCTGATAGCTGAACGATCAAACCATACACTCAACATATGAACATCTGATTAGAGAAGCAGGTTCCTGGTATTATTCCTGGCCAGTAGGACCGTTGGAGGTATTTTATTTTTTTACTACATAATCTACATCCTCTCCACTGTTTCCATGACATGAGGACAAGGAAATGGAGAATAACACTACAGTTATTCCTATTAATCCTACTTTGTTCAATACATTTCTTATAAGAGTAACTGTTACTGAAATATGTTTGCTGTTATTTCCTATATACCTTAGACCAGTGGTCCCCAAACCTTTTTTTTGTACCACATATTTTATGCAAGTTGTATGTGAGGTAAAATGTCACCTCACCCCTTGGGGACCCCTGCTTTAGACCTTACTGTAGAACTTCCAGCTGAGTTATATCAATTAAAGGAAAATGTCAAATGATTTACCTTGGAAGAGATACTCCTCTGTGTTCATGTCAGGATTGTCGGTGATAATGTCAAACGGGGATCTTCCTGCCATCATCTCAAACATCAGCACACCCAGGGCCCACCAGTCTACGCTGAAGCCTGTGAGGATCAACAACATGTTGACTGATTTTTGTTTTGTTTTGTTTTTTAATAAATGTGCTTGGGGATATTTCAATCATTAAAATTGGTGAGTTTTAAAAAATATATATTAAAGTTGGAGAGTTTCTTAGGTTACAACATACTTCATGGTTAGTCAAGGATTTCTTTAATGCCACAAAATAAGGTTCTTGTTATTTTTGGATCAGTCATTAATTATGAGAATGAGAATAAACCTGTTTGTTCAAATGTTCCTGATGCTGAGTCTGACAAGGATAATAGTGTTTTTAATCATTTCTAAATCTCTAAGATTGTCAAAGTTCATGCTCCTTTTCGACAAGATCATTATGATCTGTATAACCCAGACATAGGCAAACGTTTTGGCTCGAGGGCCACAACGTTTCCTTAAATTTGACAGGGGTGCCGGGTCATGAGCAGATAGATGGAGCGTTAGATAAATGACATGTCAATGCCATGCATAAAGGCTAAAATGCAAAGGCAGATCTGTAATGATAATATAAATGAATAATATGATTTGGACAAGTTTGGCGGGCCACATCTATAACGCAAACGGGCCACATCTGGCCCACAGGCCGTAGTTTGCCCATGCCTAGTACAACCCAATGCAGACTGTAAGTCGTTTGATTGGGAACTTTAATATCTGGCTTATTAAAAATGTGTTTTCTGGTTCTCTGACACAAACTGTCACTCACCATAGTCTTCTCCTCTGAGTATCTCAGGTGCAATGTAATTGGGAGTTCCACAGAAAGTACTGGTGGTGTCTCCTGGTCTGATCCCTTCCTGGGTACGAACAAGAGAGACAGATAGAATGAACATAAAGGCTGGAGGATGAAGACCTTTCTGTCAACACAAAGGCATTTAACTATTCATCACAAGCTGTACTCAGTCTCTTCTTTTTTTTTCTACCTTGCACATGCCGTAGTCTGTCAGCTTGATGTGTCCGTCGTGGTCCAGGAGCACGTTGTCTAGTTTGAGATCACGGTATATGATGCCCTTTTCGTGCAGGAAGTTGAGAGCGATACAGATTTCAGCAGCATAAAATCTGTAAAATAAATAGAAAAAACGCTCTGTAAAACATGACGGTACAAACTGAGGCTTGGAGTAAATTTGGTTGCATATGTGTTAGTAACCCCAAAATTAACGTGTGCACCACACTGTGGCTCGTTACAGCCCTCAGTGTCGTCTTCATTTGTGTAGATTGTTTTCTGTCTGTGGGAGATAAGCTTTCATTAACACCTAAGATGAGCCTCCCTCTGCCCACCCCCTCTGTCTCTCTGTCTCACGGCTTCAAATCCAACAGATGTCACACACTGAGGTAGAGGCAGCAATGAGGGAGGATGTTTGACAGAGGAATCACAAATCCCACACCGCTCGCTTCCCTGCATTCATTTCTCCATCTGACAGCTCTCATTGTGCCTTCTTGTTTCACTGCTGGCAATAGACTGATAGAAAGTGCGTCCTATCAGCAGCACCATCCGCCGCCCACCAACCCCCCCCATCCTCCCCCACTGTTTGGGGGAATGCAGCCCGGGCTCTCTGTGCGAGCGCTGCTCATGAATATGTACAATCATTATGAGTGATTAACATGCTGCTTTGCATATGTGCAGCCACTGTCTCCAGAATACAGATTGCCGGGGCCGATTGGGGGCCCCAACGGAGCCTCTCTAAATAACCCAGCCTTTGATCGGGCATTTATCAGAGCTGCAGTTGGAGTGCCCCTGGAAGTAGACAGGCTCAGTGAATTATTGGAGCTTATTATATTTCCTAGAGGTGGAAAAAACATGCTAAGTTCTGTTTTGGCTGCAGTGCAACATTGGTGAGGAGCTGCTCAAGATTTCCATTAAAACCCACTGAACTCTGGTGGAGAGCTGTGCTGCTGAGGCACATTTTAGGCTGAGTGCAAAGACACTAATGTATCTTCAGTCATGCACGCACACACACTCTCTCACACACACACACACAATCTTCAGCTGTCCTACAACCACAAAAACACACAGCTGGGTTTTTTTTCTTTTTCTAAAATTGGTGTTATTTTTTTTGTTCTCAACCAACGACAACAGCTCAACTGAGAGCGCTGAACAGAGTCTGTCGCTCACATAAATACATGATGTGAAACACAAAGGAGCCCATCTGGAGGAAGTTCAGCCGGTCCACTCAAATTGTGCAGGCAGCCGTGTGTGTGTGTGTGTGTGTGTGTGTGTGTGTGCCATGTCATCTTAACCAAAACCCAGTTTTAAATTCACATGCTTTCGTGTGTCATGCTGTAGTCATGCAGCTGGAAGACCGTGATCCAGGGCCAAATAACTTAAAAAACCAATAGGAACATAATGACCTCAATAGTTATATTGATAAATACTCATTACTTTACTTTGCAAAGCAGATAAATGTATACTTTACTACTTGGTTTTCAGCAACTCTAGAAAAAAAACATGTTAAAGAGGCTTTGATATGTCAAAGTAATACTGGTACTGACTGTGTCTTCATTATGATTTACATTCCAAACTGGGACCATTTATGACAAATGTAAACAGATGTTCCAACACCTGGATGTTTACCTCGCATGTTCTTCTGGGAGCTTCCGTTGTCGTTGCATATGAAACATTAAGTCGCCTCCGTTTACGTACTCGATCACCAAAAATAACCTGGGAAGAAAAACATAAAGGAGGCATAAAAGAAATAGTCAGAAAATAGTCAGAAAATAGTCAGAAGCCTTCATAAAGCCTGGTCTTCCTGTCTGAGCTCTGGTTTGAAAAAATGCAAATGTAACTTTTGTAATTTTTCTAGAACATGGTGATGAAGGTTCTTCCTCCACTGGTCAAGCCACATCTTGCACCATTAACTGTACAAGTCCTAGTTAATTTTGCAGGCTTTAACAGCAGGCCAGAGCCCAGACAGTCAGTAAGTCTGTGATTGACCACCTGACTAACACAGTTGTCAGACTGATTGTTATTGTGATATTGATCCTATGCTGTTGAGGACATTGTTTCACCACAGTTAAAAAGCCAACTCACAATCTGTTCTGGTCAAGACGCACAGTAATGACTAAAATACACAAACTCTATAAGGCTAAATTGTGAGTCTGGTGTATTTTTCTCAAATATTTCCATATTAATAATTCCATAATTTGGATCAGTCACAAACACAAACCCACACATCTACCTGCTATTACTAGTCTCTATGTTGCAGCAACAAACAACATATAAGGTTTTTGTCATATTTACTGCAGGAGTGTTGATCTATTTTGATTAACCGTGATTAATCACATAATCAACACCTTATATTAATGAGTTTAAACATTTTAATTATTAATCAGCACCTATTTATATGTAAAGTATATTGTGGCTAAATGTAGATTTAACACTTAGCATAAAACATTTAAAAATCCCTACAATGAATGAAAAAATGTTGTGCTAACTTAATCTTCTAAAGAGGCGCAGAGCAGCAACAGACAGCGATATTATATTTTTTATATCTGGGACTGGGTCAAGTATTGACCACACTGACCAGTACCTGGTGCTGTGTATAAATACGAGGGTCGACTTTATCTTGCTCTTACCGACTCTCCGTCTGGAAGCAGGAGTGCAGGCCCACCAGGAACGGATTGGTGGAGGCCTGCTCAAACACGTGCTTCTCCGTCTGAACCCAATCGATGTCCTGCAGAAGAGAGGGGAGACAAAGGAGGGGGGAGGGGGGAGATAATGTAGTAATCAATTTGTCTGATCGATAGACACACAGAGACAGAACAAATCACGGCTGAAAAACCCAGTTTGTTCGGAGACGCCGGTCTGCTTCACCATCATTTCACACTTGGAAGGCTTCGTTCCATGGACTGTCACAGTTGGGACGCAGCAGCCGAAGTATAACCAGGCTGCATGAAGTCTGTCTCAAAACTTCAGTCAGCCAATTTAATAGAAGCTCTTGAAGATGAGACGGGAGTTTTACTGCATCAAAATGTGGAATGTAGACAGTGCTGACAGAAACTTTAGGGCCAAATCCACTCATTCAGAATCTAAGTGTTTATCTATGTAAATATCTTAAACCCATCAGTATATTTTGGATAATATTGCAATTGACAACTTGACATGCTTTTTTTAAATAGAGAATTCTTCTGCTCTTATAGCTCTAGCTTTATAGCTTTAGCTCTTATATTGATTTAATCTGTATCATGTTAGGATAATAGGACTTTTCTGTTACATAAAGATTTTTTTTTTATCCGTTAACATCACTTCCACAGGACAACAAAATCTTATATTTACTTGATTAATGAGCAAACAAAAGTAATTTAGCTTCTTTCTAAATAAATAAAAAACGACAATTAGATTAAAGAGCAGAAATGTGGAAAAACCAGTTCCTTGAAACGGATTTTCTCTGTTTTCGTCATCACTGGTTGAACCGCAGACTACAGAAAGGTGTCAGCGTTGAGCCTGAGGCAAGGTTATCTCACACTGATTTAAAGCGTCTTGAAGTTGGTTATAGTTAAAGTCAATATGAGCTCCAGTGGAGTCGGTGTCTAAACGTTGAGGCCCCTGTGGTTTTCTCCCATTGTTAATTCATAACAACACAATGGAGGCGCCGCACTGTGCACTTGATTCCAAATTCTTTCTACTACTCTCATTAAGACTTGAGGAGTTTCGATGTTGAACAGCCGTCAAAACACATCTCCTGATGGTCATCACCACGGCCCAGTGGTTCAGCGGCTTGTCTGTGGTGAAGCTTCCTTTGAAGTAAAAGGCACGAGAACAGTGATGAATTATTAAGTAAAATAAGACTCATAAATAAGTGAGAAATGGGATGGTCAACATCCCAGAGTGCTTTCAACAAATCTCTGTTTTAGGGGAAATTTGTTGTGGAAATACATTTATCTTTTTTCATCTACATATGTAAAAAAAAAAAAATTAAAAACGATTTTTGAAGCTGGGGCGTAATCTGAGTTTGCTGTGAAGGACTCAACTGGTCATTGAAATTCTGTACGTATTATCTGGCAAGATTAGAAGTTTAGAAGAGTTGAGCAATAGTGCCATCTAGTGGTATACAAGACCACAGGCGCAGCATTTAATGCAGCAGTGCTTCTTTTTTTTCTAATGAAAAAGGTGGGCCTTGGCATGGAACAGTTTGTGAACCCCTGGTATGACAAACAACCACCAATTGTTTGATATTCTATGGGAACTGGAACTGTTCAGGAACCTTTTTGTTCTGTATTGTGAATAGTAGCTTCATTGTTACATAGACTTGTACCAAACCCTTCAGTGCCACAAACTTCTCCAGCACCTTCACTCACTGTCTAAGGTTTGTGTCACTGTCCAGCACTTCACAACCCCTGTCACTGTGACCCAGAACTGTCTTGTTATTCCCGAGGCTCTCCCTCTGGATAATCAGAAACTGCTTGACATTCAGGAGCCCAGATCAAAGCAGCAATAAAAACACTGCTGAATCCAAAAGAAGCGCTCCTCTAATTCTATGAACACACATTGAAAGCGTAATGAGGGAAGTATTTAAAATTCACCATCACATTTAAACCCATCGATTTTCTATCCTGGGACCTGGGCTAAGTTCTCTGCTGAGCAGCAGAACGTTGGCTGCCTTCACTGTATCATCTCCCCTCTGGTGCTGCAGCACAGACTGGATGGTGATAAACAGACGTAGAAAACAGTTACTGTCCAGGTTCTGGGCTTTGTCAGTGTTATGAACTCACTGTGATTCA